GAAAATCCGAAATTTCGTTGTTGGAAATCCGGAATATCTTTTTCTCGAAAATTTCGATTTCCTGTTGCATTTCCCGTTATTTGGAAATTCAGAATATTTTTTTTCCGAAATTCGTTTTTTTCTGAAAACGGTACGGGAAATCCCTCTTGCAGTACCATTTTCCAAACTGCGAATACTCTCATCTGAGTAAATCCGAATACTTGTTATTTCTTTTCAGAATTTTTTTTCTTTTGGCAGTTCTATGATTTTCACTATCTGATAGTCATTGGCAGTCTGAAGTTCGAAATTGTTTTTTCTCATTGATACTTTCGCACTTCAAGGGAGGTTGGGAGACCTACTGAACTTGCAAAACTCGGGATTTTTTATTTTTTCGAAATTGTTTTGCAAAGTTCGAACTTTTCTTTTTTGATTAGTGGCTCCTTATCCGGACGCTATCTGCGCGATTATCCCACTCACCCCTCCCAACCTATGTTGTTGCCCCCTCTGGTCTTACCTTCTCTATCGGTCTCCGGGTACCCCCTGCGGCAGCGTTGGTGAGTTGCCACGTCATCAGGCCACGTCAGCAGACCACGTCAGTGGACCACGTCAGCAGGACACGTCAGCAGGCCACGTCAGCTGACAGCAGTGCCACATCAGCAGCAGGGAGTACCATGTCAGCAGGCTCCCAGCCTGGTCTATGCTTTTGCGCTCACAAACAGCTGTCATGGACCAGAAGTCCGGGGAAACAGACGAGGCCTATCAGGCCCGGATGTTGGCCTGGAGTACCGAAACCAAGAAACGAGCGGATGACGTAGCAACCGCAGCGAAGAAGAAGGCACAGGACGCCGAGAAGGCACGGCTGCTGGCAATTGAACAGCAGCACCAGCATGACGAGGCAGCAGCAAAGGCTGCCGATGAAGAACGGGTTCAACGTCGTGAGAAGATATTTAGCGGAGAGCAAGTGTTGCTCACAATGGCAGCGGATTGGCGGGCTGAGGCCGATAATGGCAAGATGGAAGATAGCGAAAACAAGATTGCTCTACTCCTCTCCCATCTCACGGACCTCCTGGCAACATGCATTACACAACAGGACGACATCCGCAGCCTCGACGACTCAAAGTCCACGGCCGCCTCCGGCAGCTGGAGCAGCGACCTGTCGCCGCCCCTGACGCCAGCTCTTCCAATACCTCCGATCGCCTCGAGGCATTGGAGATGGACGTCGGCTCCCTCAAGGACGGCGTGCAGTTACAGCAAACCGCAATGCAACAGTTGGAACAGCGGATCTGCACTGCCGCCAACCACTCGAGTTCAGAACCGCGCGAGACAGCTCCAAAGTTCAACGGGCAGGAGATCTTCTGCGACTCAACGAAGACAGATCCAATTCCATGGTTCCGCAAGTTCGAGCTCACGCTGCAGCTACACTACGTCAAAGAACACAAGCACCACGCGTACTTATACTCCCGCTCGGGGGGCGCGTGCCAAGCATGGTTGGACAATCTCTTGTCCAAGTACGCAGTGGTAGCTGCCGACTTGCATACCAAGATCAACTGGGATGATCTTAAGGTGCCGTGGCATAAACGGTTCCAAGTAGAGCCGTCGGAGATCAAGGCAATGGACAAGCTAATGGTCTTCGAACAAGGCACGCTGCCAAGTGTCGACTGGATTGTCGAGTACCAACGCTTGACATCCGTCCCAGACATCCAAATGGCCTTCAAAGCCATCCGCCACTATTTTATCTCAAGGTCGTGTCCGACATTGAGCAATGCCTTGACTCATGTCGAGGACACCCTGATGACAACGGCGGAACTCTTTGACAAGGCCGCGCAGATTATTATCATGAACAAGGAGGCTAAGAACCTGCATTCGTCTGCGGCAGGCCCGAGCAGAGATCAGCATCGGTCGAAAGTGGCCGTGGTCGCGGCGGCAACGCCGTTTGACCAAACTAGCGAGGTCGTGTTCGCCAATGAAGGGGACAGACTTGCAGCCGCCCGGGAAGGTGGCCGCTTCGGCAAAGGTCGAGGACGTGGCAAAACGAAGACAAACACCGCATCTAGCCCCGGGCCCGGCGCAGCAGTTCCAGCCCCATGGTCCCAATACGATCTCTCCGAGCAAGCATTCAAAGCACACACGAGATTCCACTATTGCCTATGGTGCAACAACGATCTCCATGAGACAGTGGCCTGCCCGTCGAAAGGCAAGGGCAAATCGAGAAACTGAGCACCGCCGGAGTGACTCGACGACACTCTCGACGCCTTCGGAACCGGTCGCTTCGCGGGTGACTGCCCTTCGTTCCGAGGCACATGCGGAAGTCGATAGTCCTCCTCTTCTTTATTCTTTTGAGGACTATGCTGCCCGGCTCGTTCCTACGCTGGGTACTCGAGCTCGAGGACAAGACGTGTGTGTGACATCTTCTCCGTCCGGCAGCGACGACTTATCGTTTTCAAGTGGTTCTTCACGGGATTCGACGCACGAGTTCAACATAGAGGTATTGAACCCGCTCACGTCCGGGGATTTCGCATGGCTTCCTCTCCCGACCACGGGCCGCTTGCCGGGACCGCAATGCGCAGCACTATGCGCTCATCTCCACACGTACTTATCCTTCTATGCACCACCAAATTTGCCGACAAATGACGAAGTCGCGGTGAGGGACATCCTTGCGTATGTTACCAAGGTGGCCCGCGAGTTTCACAATCAGCGGTACGATGACAACAACGCACCGCTCCTCTATGTTCGCATCCAAGTTGGGCAAGCGTCTTGCAGTGCTTTGCTGGATAGCGGCGCGTCTCGCAATTTTATGAGCCAAGCCTTCATGCAAAGGGTTGGCCTTGGTGCACAAGTTCGAAGGAAGGCAAACCCGACGGTGATCAAGTTGGCGGACGGAAGGACGCAGCAACTTATCGACCGCTACATCGAGGCCGTACCGGTGTATTTCGCACCTCATGCATGGGAACCGGTGACATTTGACATTTTGGACACGGACTTTGACATTTTTTTGGGAATGCCTTGGCTTGCAAGTGTGGATCACACGGTCAACTTCCACCGGAGGACTCTTACCGTTTGCGACGCCTTCGACGCCGAAGTGCCATAAAGTCATTCTGGGCTACTTGTGCTTACGAGCAGCCCGACGAAATCGGCCTATGTTTCCTACGGACCGTCGAGGTAGCCGACTCTTCACCCACGGACTTGTCTTCGGACCCCCGTGTGGTGCGGTTGCTTGACGAGTTCGCCGACATCTTCGAGTCACCTACCGGTGTGGTGCAGGATCGGCCAATCTCTCACGAGATCATTCTCGAGGTCGGTGTCGTGCCGCCGAAAGGTTGCATTTATCGCATGAGCGAGGAGGAGCTTATGGTCTTCTGCGCGCAACTCGATGATTTGTTGGACAAGGGCTGGATCCACCCTAGTAGCTCTCCATACGGAGCGCCAGTTCTCTTCGTACGGAAGAAGAAAAATGATCTACGATTGTGTATAGATTACCGCAAGCTCAACGCGCAAACCGTCAAGAATGCGGGACCTCTTCCTCGCATCAATGATCTTCTTGAGCGATTGGGCGGCGCAAAGTATTTTTCCAAGCTGGATTTAAAATCGGGATATCATCAAATCTCGATCCGACCGAACGATCGTTACAAATCCGCGTTCAAAACGCGGTATGGGCATTTTGAGTAGGTGGTCATGCCTTTTGACCTCACCAACGCCCCGGCGACCTTTCAAGCGGCAATGACCAACGAGTTTCGTGGAATATTGGACCGGTTCGTGCTGGTCTACTTAGACGATATTCTCGTCTATAGCCGGACATTAGAGGATCATCTTGGGCATCTTCGACGAGTGTTGGAGACGCTCCGCCGCGCCAAGTACAAGGCCAACCGTGACAAATGCGAATTTGTCTGGCAAGATCTGGAATACCTGGGCCATTTTGTCACACCGGAGGGCATCAGTCCGCTATCGGACAAGATTCAAGCCATCCAAGAGTGGCCGGAACCACGGAACGTCACAGATGTTCGTTCGTTCCTTGGCCTCGCCGGCTACTACCAGCGTTTCATCAAGGGCTACTAGAAGATCGCGGCCCACTTGACCAAGCTTCAATGCGAGGATTGACCGTTTGACTTCGGAAAGGATGCGCGGGAATCATTTTTAGCTCTCAAAGTCGCGCTATTATCTGCGGAGGTCTTGCGCATGTATGACCCGATTTTGCCTACGCGCGTCACTACGAATGCGTCCGGCTATGCCATTGGTGCCGTCGTCGAGCAACATGATGGCGTGGACTGGCACCCGGTCGAGTATTTCAGCAAGAAAGTGCCCGTCGTGCATTCCATTGACGATGCACGCAAGAAGGAGCTCCTCGCCTTCGTCCACGCGTTCAAGCGGTGGCGGCACTTCCTCCTTGGTCGAAGCCAATTCCGATGGGTAACGGACAACAATCCGTTGGTCTTTTACAATACCCAAGACACCGTCAACAACACCATCGCTCGATGGATGGCTTTCATCGACCAGTTCGACTTCTTTCCCGATCACATTCCGGGGAAGTCGAACCGTTTTGTGGATGCTCTTTCACGGCATCTGGGTCATTGTACTGCGGTCTACTCGACCTTCGAGATCGACAACGACCTGCGGGACAGCTTCATCCGCGACTACCAAGCCGACCCCGAGTTTCGCGACAAGTACGCGAATTGCTCCTCTCCTAATCCGGCGCCTTCTCACTACCGGATCCAAGAGGGGTACTTGCTTGTCCACACACGGGGGAAGGACCTTCTTTGCGTGTCGAGTGACCCTCGCTTGCATACACGGCTTCTTGGCGAGTTCGACGATGCTCCTGCCATCGAACACTTTGGAGTCAATCGCACGATTGGCCGACTTCACAAGCGATTTTGGTGGCCCGGCCTTCTCGGGGACGTCACTCGCTATTGCGAGTCATGCGAGGTTTGCCGACACTGCAAATCCCGCAACCATCGTCCGTACGACGAGTTACGACCATTACCGATCCCTTTGAGGCGAAGGGAAGCAATTGCCATGGACATTACCGGCCCGTTCCCCAAGCACAAGACCGGAGTGGATGGGATTCTCACGGTGGTCGACCGACTCCCCAAGTTCGCCATGTTTTTGCCTTGCCGCTATCATGCCAAGGCACCGGAGTTGGGCGAGGTTCTTTACGCCAGTTGGATTCGAACCAAGGGTTACCCCAAGGAAATTGTCTGCGACCGCGACACTCGGTTCATGTCCGATTTTTGGTTGGCGCTCATCAAACGATGGGGCTCATCTCTCAAGCCAAGTTCGGCTCGCCATCCCCAAACCGATGGCCAAACGGAGAGGGCGCATCAGACCGCACAGGTTCTCCTCGCACTCTCATCCGTCCCGACCAAAAGGATTGGGTTGAGCTGCTGCCGGATGTCGAGTTGGCATACAACTCGTCCATCGACCCGACTATCGTTATGTCACCCTTCGAGTTTGAGCACGGCTTGCCGGTCACTTCGCCGTTGGACACACTCATTCCACGAGCGGTCGAGAGCGACGACCATCTTCTATTCTTCCGACGGATGCAAGAGCTTCTTGTCAAGGCACACAACCAGATGGCTAAAAGACGCAACAACACATGAGCCAGCAGGCCAATCGCCAACATCTCCCTTACCCATTCCGCACCGGCGACCTCGTTTGGTTTTCCGCCGTGGAATTCAGCCTTGAACAAGATCTCTCTCGCAAGCTCCTCCCGAAATGGATGGGGCCCTGGCCGATCGTGGCATCCGCTGGGGATGCACCCGAGGGACCTTCCTTCACTATTCAGGTGCCCCCCCACTTGCCCGTCTTCCCGGTCTTTCATTGCTCCAAGTTGGCTCTTTACACGCCAACGAAACATGACGATTTTCCCGGGCGACGATCGCAAGACCCACCCTCTATGGATGGTTTTCAAGAGGTCGACGACATCATCTCCCAACGACGCTACGGCAACAGGCCAACCGAGTACTTGGTACATTTTGCATACTGCACACACCGAGCTGACCGTTGGTTGACCCGTGCGGAACTTCAAGCAACAACTCCAGACGTTCTCGCACGCTACGACGCAAGATGCAAGGCAAGCTGGTCTTTTCGGCTCCACGCCGCGCCCGCGTCCAGGTTCCACCTTCAGATCGTCAGCTTCGCCCTTGCCCCGGCTTGACTTCATAAGGAGGGGGGGGTGTTACATGCYGCGCCTGCACACGAGGGCCATTTTCCAGGMCCTGCGTCCCTCAGGYTGAAAGCCTGAAAACCAGGGCCTACAGGCCCCGTGTCCATTCAGCTCGAAAGCCTGAAAAACAGGGGCCTATAGACCCTGTGTCGTTTCAGACTAAAAATGGCAATAGCCTTTTTAGCCTGAAACGAAGGGCCATTTTCGGTCTGTTATCAGACCGACCTGCCCTGAAACTCAGGCACCAAACCAGGGTTTTAGGAACAGCCTATTTTTGGCCTATTCCCACGACAGCTGCAGCGCCAGGCCCTGGCTCAGTTCGGCATTGGCAAGAGCAGCCTCCTGGACTGCCCGCCCTGCAACTGCAGGCAGTCGGAGGCAGTCAAGAGGCAGGACGAGGTAGTAAGTAGGGACTTCCCATGCACTTCACGGGTAGGCAGGAGGCAGTCAGTAGTCTTCAGGATTCGGCAGCAGCACTCTGGAGGAGCGCTGCAGGAGTAGTCGTAGCGTTAGCAGTAGTCTTCAGCGTTGGGCGCTAGTAGCGTTAGTTGTAGTCTTTAGCGCTGGGCGCCATAGCTAGAGTAGTACTAGTAGAGAGAGAGAGAGAGAGATTGGGCGGAGGCCGGGGATACTTACCTGCAGCGCCGTTGCTCCAGCTTCGTCTTCGAGGTACCTGCAGCACAGTGCCATCTTCACAGGTTAGTACCTAACACATGAGAGAGAGAGTTCTTCTTCTTCCTCTTCTCAGTCCACCATCTCCTTCTCACCCTCTCGCTATCTGACTTCACTGCATCAGCAGACTACAAGAGAGAGAGAGAGAGAGAGAGAGAGAGAGAGAGAGAGAGCTTGGTGACATTTGGATCCAGACTCAACATTGGACTTCAGACATATTGAAGAGGGATTATTTGGGACTTGTACCGAGACTTGTGTTGACGACTTTCCCATCTCCCCCTTCCTCTTCTTCGTTTGATCCCCTCCTCTCCGTCTATGTATGTGTGGACCTGGCGCCTCTTCCTGTGTATAGCGCCAGGCCCCATCACACCTTATGATGAGCATGATGTATGTTTGGTCAGTGTTGAAACATTGAGTGGGCTAGTCCTTAGTATTCTAGCATTCTGCTTCGCTATCTTATACTACATGAAAGAGGTCAGTCCCGGTCAGGTCAAGACTTGTATCTAAAGTCTTCCATGCGCTATAAAGCACCATTTTGTATGTATCGGAATGCGCATTGCTTGTTGAGATTCCACTTGCACTGCATTGTCCATTTAGTCCTTTTTATCACATTGCGAATCCTCGGTTTATATGTACATCGCCCAACTAGGCATGTAACACCCCAGTACCCCGGGTTGAGATGTGGAGGGATTCCCGGCATCCTTTTGCAAGCTGATAATATATAATGCAATATTCCACGCTGCAATCAGACTCGCTATCATTCACACTTCTCATGCATATAAACAAGTTGCACAGCAAACCGGCGACGAGCGCCCACTTCAAACTCAGAGATATTGCAAACACGAACATTGTTCAAATACAACTCGCTCCAGAAGGCTATGGCGACTCAGCGCCTGTACACGTCTCTGTTCGTCACTCACTCGTCGCTGCTTAGTACACGCAGGATCACCCTGGATATCCGACACGCATACTTTGCACACTCACACACTCACACACTGAACTCTATCTACATTTATGGCGGCTATAGCCGCTGCTAACCTATCGCTATGGCTAAGCTCCTTCTCTCTCGCCCACTTCGTCTTCGGGCTCACTGCAGACCACCTCGCACAAGTCGCTGTGGCAGCGCTTCCGCATGGCTCACGCAGGAATGAATGAATGGCTGGGCACTGCCCTTTGATTTATACTTTTGCAGCTCGTTGGTCTGGCCCTTTCCCATGCCCGTAGTGCACACAGTCCCATGCGGTACCTGCTTGACTAGACTAGGACTGACTGGGACTGGGACTGCTGACTCAGCACGGGCAGACTCCACCACTTGCCCACTTGCCTCAGTCTAAATGTGGGCAACTTCGAAAGGCCATTGCTAGGACCTTCCGGAAGGCCGTGGACTTGGCCTTTCGCTACTGTAGCAGCTATGACCTTGACCTTTAAGGACTGTAGCAGCTACAACCTTGACTCTTCGGAAGCTCTACAGTTACGACTTCTAGAACTCCCTAAGACTTCTACTCGACAGGTCTACGGTTCGAACCCCTGCTACCTACGGACCCTACGGCAGTCTACCAACTGTTACAAATACACAGGTCACGGGTTCAACTCTCGGGGTCGACACAAATACNAATACACAGGTCACGGGTTCAACTCTCGGGGTCGACACAAATACTGTACACAGGTAAGGTGATGACTAGGGATCGAGCCCTGGGATCTGCATCGGCTACTGCAAACAGGTGAATACCGTTTCACTCCCGCCGGCCTAAATTCGAGGTCCTCAGAGAATAACTCAATCCAAGGTAGGACCTTTTCCCTTCTTATCTCTCTCATAGGCTCTAACTATGTCGGGAGCTGTTTCCAGAAGTTCTATTCTAGTAAACCAGCGGTCGTCTTCTGGCTCCTGGTAAGCAAATCGAACCTTATATTGTTTTTGTGGACGACCTCTACCTCCTGTTCTAAACACATCTTCACCTACGATGCCGTCGATGTCATACCTTCCGTCCATGTCTGGAGGGATCATGGATCGTCTAGATGGAAACTGCTGACTGGTGACACACGGAAGTAACTTTGATGCATGAAATACAGGGTAGGTGTGGAGGTGTGCTGGGATCTCTACTCTATAGGACGACCCATCCTCTCCGCCCTTAACTTCTAGAACTGGCCGCGGTCCTCTATACGCGGGCAGTAACTTCTGCGAGATGTTTTCCTCAGAAGCAAACTCTTTGGACTTGACTAAGTCGCCAACTTGGAACTGCGACGGGCAACGGTGCTTGTTGGCTTGTTCTATCATTCTATGCTGGGCCTTCCTGAGGTTCTCAACAATTGTAGCTAGCTCTCTCTCGTGCTGTACTGCAAAATCCCTGGTATCGGGCGGTAGCCTGTGAATCTGATCTCCATTAAGTCCCTCAAATGGTCTGCGCGGTCTAAAGGACTTGTGCAACTCATTGGGAGTGCGACAGGTGGACAAGTGCACGTTGTTATTGTACACACTGGCTACCTTGGGCAACATCTCGTCCCAATTGACTTGATTGGGTCTAATATACATGCACAGAACTTGCTGCAGGATCTTGTTCATCTGCTCAGTCTGACCGTTAGTCTCTGGATGGCGGCCAGACGACATCAACAACTGGGATCCATAGACTTTCATCAGTTCCTACCAGTTCTAGCTAGTGAAGCGGGTATCTCTATCACTAACAATAGATAATGGGACGCCATGCTCACTAACCCAAAAATCAAAGAACTTTTGAATTACTAACTCGGTACGTGCCTCTGCAGGCAAAGGAACAAAGAATGCCTCTGCAGGCAAAGGAACAAAGAATGCATACTTGCTAAATCTATCAACTGTGACCATGACTTGGCTCTTGCCGTGCCTACTCTTGACCTGGGTATCCATAAAATCAATGGACACCGAGTCTCCTGGCTGATCAGGAATAGGCAAGGATCTGAGAGGACCTGGAGGGGCAGGAGTAGTGGTCTTATTTCTTTGGCAAACTTTACAACTGCGGGCATACTTTATGCAGTCGTTCTTCATTCTTGGCCACGTATATGCATGCATCAGGTTGGCTAAAGTCTTTTGCCAACCGAAATGTTCCTTTGTGTCGTGGCATTCCCCCAAGATCAGACTGCGGATCTCCTCGCTGTTGGGAACGCACAGGCGGTCTACTACATTAGTTTTCTCAAACAACAGTCCCTCNATTCCCCCAAGATCAGACTGCGGATCTCCTCGCTGTTGGGAACGCACAGGCGGTCTACTACATTAGTTTTCTCAAACAACAGTCCCTCAGTAGTGCGGTAGTCTGGTTCGGTCTCTAGGCCTCCTTAACTCTCTTGAGGAGGTCGTTATAGATAGGGTCCTGCACATACGCCTGTCTAACTTTCTCCTGCAGGTCACTCCCTATGTCCAGATAGTGAACTATAGGTCCAAAGTAGTCCGATCTCCTACTTAGAGCATCCGCAACTACATTGTACTTGCCTTTAACAGGCTTGAGCTCGAAGTCGTATTGGTCTATCTCAGCGGCCCACCTAGTCAACTTAGGTGTCATTTTGGCTTGTCTCCACCCACCTCAGCGTCTCGTGGTCTGAATACACTTTGAAGTGCCTCCCAAGCAGGCAATGCTTCCAGTGTTCTAAAGCCTGCCCGAGAGCGTAGAGTTCCCTCTCGTACGTCGAGGTAGCGACCTTCTCTGAGGGCATCCTCGCTGACATGAACTCTACGGGTCTATAGCCATTGTCGTCGTCTTGCTGTAATACGGCGCGTATTCCATACTAACTCGCGTCCGTGGTGACGACAAATGGCAAAGACATATCTGCTACTTTGAGGAGAGGGTACTCTATCATTGCGCGCTTTTAGCGCAGACGTGCAGTGTTTATCCCACTGTCAGATTGCTTCTTTCTTTAGCACCCTGCGAAGGGGAGCGACGATAGTCGAGAAGTTCCTCACGAACTTAGTAGTTAGCCAGACCTAGGAACGACCGCAACTCAGTCAATGTGCGGGGCATTGACCAATCTCTAATCACCGCTATCTTACTGTCCTCAGGCTTAATGCCATCTCCGTCTAACACGTGGCCCAAGTACAAGACTTGTGTCTTGGCCCACTCACACTTCTTTGCGTTGATCTTGAAGTTAGCCTCTCTCAGCTTCTCCAAGACCTGCCTCAAATGACCCTGGTGCTCTTGGAGGGTCCTACTGAACACTAAGATGTCATCTAAATATACTACGACAAATCTATCTAACCACGACCTAAACAAATCATTCATACAACGCTGGAATGTAGCAGGCTCGTTGGTCACTCCAAAAGGCATCACTATAAACTCATAGTGCCCATACCTAGTTCGGAACGCAGTCTTGTACTGGTCGTCAGGATGGACTTCTATCTGATGGTACCCGGACTTCAAATCGATTTTCGAAAAATATTTGCACCCCTGCACCCGATCTAAAAGATCGTCTATCATGGGCAGTGGCTCAACGTTCTTTACTGTGATCGCATTCAAACCCCTATAGTCTATACACATACGCAACTCTCCTTCCTTGGGGACAAACAAAACTGGTGCTCCAAAAGGGGACGAACTGGGCCTAATCCAACCTTTCTCAAGGAGGTCATCCAACTGCTTGCGCAGCTCCCTAGGGGATATCATGTAAACTGTTCCCTTAGGAGTCCTACTGCCAGGCTCTATCTCTATTTTGTGTTGGATCGGCCTCCTGTTGGCGGCTCTGACAAATCTTTAAACTCTTCGAGCAGCTTGGCAATAGCTGGGTCTATGGGCTCCTCTGCTTTAGGCTCAGTGATAGGTCTAATGTAAGCTACAAAGACCTGGTCCTCTAGTTGCTCCTTTCTCACTAGTCGCGCGAACGCGGGAGCACTGAGACAGTATTTGTGCCAGTGAGTTATCTACTCTCGACACGTGGAACAGACGGGTTGTCTTAACCTCGCCTGATGGACTAGGGAGCCTACACTCATGTTCTCTCAAATGAAGTGTGGCCCCTGCTGCCTCTCTCCAGTCCATACCTAGGACTATATCGAAAGGAAGGTCATCCTGTACGAGGAGAGTCGGGGAATGGAGAACTTTCTCCACCTTCCCATCTTTCTCTAGGCGGAAATACGTCTGGACTCCCTCTACGTAGTCCTCAACACGCATAGTGCGGTTGTCTGCGAGGACACTAACTATGGGGTCTTTGAACTTCTGGACTTTCAACCCTAGCCTCAACTTCTTCAACGCTTTGCAGCTAATATAACTACGAGTAGCCCCTGAATCTATAAGGGTCCCCACTCTACTTCTAAAAACTTCTACATCAACTAACACTAGTTGCCCTTTACTATCTTCCTTCATTTTGGCCCAGGCTGGCATCCTCTCCTTCAACTCTTTTGCCACGCCCGTGAGGGAAGTGCCTAGAGAGACGCTAACACAAGCAGTCTCTGGACAGCTAACTAGGCACGGGCCTGCAACCTCTGCCGAAGGCTCATGTGGTGTGGGAGTTTCCTGTACATGCACGCTCACTTCCCCACATTGCCTAGTAGTAAGGGCAGTTACAACTCCTACCGGCGGCTGCCTTTTGACTCCTGGGCAGCCCATCGGGCCTGTCTATACTTAGGACAATATTTAATAATATGGGCAGGGTCACCACAGTAAATGCACTGCCCCTGCTCCATACGCTGCAGCCACACTCTCTAGTCCAGGCCCAGATCTTCCCAAGGCCGGCCTTGTGGCCAACCTGGGTGCCAACCTCCTCTCCTTTGAGGTGATCCTCCACCTCGTCGCTGCGAGACCGACTGGGACCTTGACGATTTGGCGGGGGACCTTCACCCCTACCTCCCTCTTGGCGGCTCCTTCGACCGCCAACCCCCTGTGCACCCGGTCCTCGACCTCCCGTGGCCTGACCCCTTTGGCCCTGGCCTCCTCCTCTACTTTGCAGCCTCCCTCCAGCCGCGACAGCAGCATAGGTCCTCCCCTGGCCTACACTACTGTCCACCTCCTCAAGCCCCCACTCAATATGACTGTAGGGGACCTCGTCTGTACCACCTTCATCTAACGTAAGGATCAAATGATCCTTGGCCCTAACTTGGCCAGAGATGGTACGACCTTCCCACTTTTTGCCCTTATCTAAGTCTTTATGCCAAAAAGTGGAAACTGGCAATAGACTTGGCCTCGAACAGGACCACTTCTCTACTTAACGCATCGTACGTTATGTTGGCCTGTTGGGTCTTGTCAAAGAAATGCCCTCGCAAGGGCTCTGGCATGGCACGATAAAATAATTGGACCAACTGGGTCTTAGTGACCCCGTGGTCTGGGACGGCTACCAAGTCGTCCATGACAGCTTAGTGCTTGCGCACTCCTCCACTGTCGCGAGTGGATGGTTTGGAGCTTGTTAGAGGCCCTGACACCCCTCGTGACGTCAGCAAACCTCTCGCGTAGGAGTCGAAGGAGAGTGGAAAGAGGGGTAAGCCTAGAATACGCAATCATGTTATGCTCGCAATCAGCACCGCGCGCAAGGGACCTGGCGAAGCTGGCTGCTTCGTCCTTCAATGCATGGAAGGCTACGAGGACTTGCTCCTCGGGGGCGATATGTTGCAAATACACGTATGTATTGATACTGGTCTTCTTGTTATCAAAGCTATCGTCCTTCTTCCCGCTATAAGCGTCAGGGAATTCGAGCTTTACAGACTCTTTGCGGGGACGCGCCCTGGCCTCTGCTGTGGCAACTACTTTGGCGCCTTCAATGGCGCCTGCGCATATCTTCTCTTCGCCTTCCTTCAAGTTTTTGACTTCAGTCCGGATGTGGGTTACCACGTCGCGCGCAAACTCTCTGAAACTGGACCGGATGGCATGAAAGGTCACATCTTGACCCTTGTTGGCCTGATGCTCCTCAAGCTAGGCCTCACTCAGAACCTCCAGGTACCCCAAAATCTTATCTAACTTTGCAGGGTTTTCTACCTGTGCCTGCACCTCCTGTCTACATGCCCGGACTTTCTCCACCTCTCTAGCCATCCGGTTGGCTTTCTCCCTCCTCCTCTTCTTCTCCCTCATCATACGCAACTTCCACTCCAACTTTTCATCTTCTGCTGTCTGACGTTCCAGGGGGTCCTCCATCGCTTCCAATTCCCTGGCGAATGCTTCTCTCTCCTCCTGGGGCACATACAGCAGTGCCTCTTCGTCTTCTGCCAACGATAAGTTAGCCACCCACTCGCTAATCTTTTTCTCCATCCATGCGTCCTCTCCCTTCGTGCCACTTGTCTCTCCTTTATCTCCCCCACGCCTCCTTTCAAGGGGTTCTTCTTCTACGTCCTCCTCTGCTGCTGCTTCTTCTTCGGCAGCCTTCCTCTTCTCTTCCTCTTCCTGTTCTAATCTCCTCATCTCTTCCTCCAACTTCTTCTTCTTCGCCGCCTGCTCCTCTACGATTGCTTTTAACTTCGCCTGCTTAAGGAGCTCTTTCTTCTCCTTCATCTCCTTTCTTTCTTCTAAAATGGCGGCGGCACGCTCCTCTTGACCCTGCGTGTAGGGGGTGGTACTCTTTCCACTACGGGTATCAACCATGGTGTCTGGTGCACAACCAAACAACGGTTTCACTCCTCACCATTTAGACTCTACCCCCTGACTGACAAACCTACTGACTCGATCGAAGGACTTATAGAATCCGGACAGGAGTTGACAGTCAACTAGGGTCTCTAGCCTGGACCTACTCTAAGGTTGTCACTACAGGACCTATTGCTGATCGGGAGGCATTTAAGGAGATCCCCCGTAACTCCTCAGGAATTATTTAACGTCGCAGACAGGACGACGCGATCAGCAGGTCCTCTCAAGACTTAGACGGCCTGTTGTGCAGCCCACAACTCGGATTTTGGGCCTACCGTGTCACACCGAGCAGCCCACCGGTCAATACCGGTCCTTGGGAGGGTTCGTGTCCTCCGGGATAGTCGAGTCGTCAGACACAGTCTTTAGCCCCACTCAGCCCGTGTGGGTTTGGTCAACAAGGCCCTCTCCTTCATCCACAGAGTTCCTATCACCTGGACAGAAGAGACTCAATGCAAAAAGAAGAGACAAACAAACTTGACTCAACAAGTACCACAAGGTGTGTGCACATTCATAGGGCGAGGGAGGACGAGGGAATAGGCTGAAGGCTTGGCGAGATTATACCGGCTCCAGCTTGGTCAAAGTTGTGGTCAACGGTCTTGGTCAACACTGCAGTCAACCCCCGATCAACTCTCGGTCGACTCCGGTCAACGTCCGATCAACTCCGATCAACGCCCGGTCAACTCCTCTGGTCAGCTCCGGCTATGGCGGCCGCCTCCTCCTTCGTCCCCACCCTTCTCCTTCCTTCTCTCTACCTCGCCTCCTCCTTCTTCACCCCGGCTATCTTCTCTCTCTCTCTTTTTTTTTTTTTTTTTTGTTCGTCTCTCCCTTCACCTTCTCGGCTATGGCTTCCTTCACCCTTCTCGGTCTCCCCCTTTGTCCTCTCTTCCACCCCCTTCGTCACTCTGTGGTCGAGCTCCGCGGCTATGGACGCCTCCTTCATAGTTGGACTGCACGGCGCACTTCACAGGTACGTGACAACCAAACTTGTATCGCTCATCTCTCTCTCCCTCTCCCTCTCTCTCTCTCTCTCGCCGTAGCGATATCTTCAATGCAAGTACGTGGTAAGCCAAACTTGTATCACTCAACCTCTCTCTCTCTCTCTCTCTCTCTCTCTCTCTCTATTTATCTATCTATCTATCTATCTATCTATCTATCTATCTTTGTCGTGGTCTTCTTTGCAGGTGCGTGCGGCGGCTTCTTCAACCTCCGGGTCCGCTATGGCGGACTTCTTCTCCGATGGCCACTTCGACTATGGCGCGTAGCTCTCCCTGCGGCACACGACGGATGCGCGTGGGATAGCGGGTACCAGCTCCGATACCAATGCAATCAGACTCCTTATCATTCACACTTCTCATGCATATAAACAAGTTGCGCAGCAAACTGGCAACGAGCACCCACTTCAAACTCAGAGATATGGCAAACAAGAACACTGTTCAAATACAACTCGCTCCAGAAGGCTATGGCGACTCAGCGGTTGTACACATCTTTGTTCGTCACTCACTCGCCGCTGCTTAGTACACATAGGATCACCCTGCATATCCCACACGCATACTCTGCACACTCACACGCTCACACACTGAACTTAACAAATTTTGATGAAAAAATAAAAATTACAATTTATGGCTACACAAATCGTTGAAGATACTATTAAATCGAAAGGTAGACGCGCAGAGATGTGGGTGACATTTTAAAACCTTTAAATTCCGAATATGACAAAGTTGCTCCTGGTTGGGGGACTACTGTTTTAATGGGGATTTTTATGGCTCTTTTTGCAGTATTTTTGGTGATTATTTTAGAGATTTATAATGCATCAGTATTGTTAGATGGTATCTCGGTTAGTTGGGCTAGTTTAGTTTAGCAATCTTGAAATAAGAAGTGGGATTGGCTATGGCCGCTGCTAACCTGTCGCTATGGCTAAGCTCCTTCTCTCTCGCTCACTTCGTCCTCGGGCTCACTGCAGACCACCTCGCACAAGTCGCCGTGGCAGCGTGGCTCACTCAGGAATGAATGAATGGCTGGGTGCTGCCCTTTGATTTATACTTCTGCAGCTCATTGGTCTGGCCCTTTCCCATGCCCGTAGTGCACACAGTCCCATGCGGTACTTGCTTGACTGGACTAGGACTGACTGGGACTGGGACTGGGACTGCTGACTCAGCACGGCTAGACTCCACCACTTGCCCTACAACCTTGACCTTTCAGGACTGTAGCAGCTACGACCTTGACTCTTCGGAAGCTCTACAGTTACGACTTCTAGAACTCCCTAAGACTTCTACTCGACAGGTCTACAGTTCGAACCCCTGCTACCTACGGACCCTACGGCAGTCTACCAACTGTTACAAATACACAGGTCACGGGTTCAACTCTCGGGGTCGACACAAATACNAATACACAGGTCACGGGTTCAACTCTCGGGGTCGACACAAATACTGTACACAGGTAAGGTGATGACTAGGGATCGAGCCCTGGGATCTGCATCGGTTACTGCAAACAGGTGAATATCGTTTCAACGCCATATGTCTCGTAGATTGTCTGAGGGCCTTACCTGGCCACACTCAGACCCAGGCCGAAGGGGGGAAAAAGAACCCCACGTAAAAATGCAGGGCCTGAACGTGAGCCGCCGGTCAGACGCACACACTTGTTTGCATGCAGGTACCCAGATAGCATCAGGACCAAGGGGAAAATCTGCAATTGTACAATCCAGGCCCTCGGCTGTGAGTCAATCTGCACGACTGTGGAAGGGGGACCTGAGGCCAGACAACCTCGCCAAATACTACATAAGGCTGGGTCTCCGGGTAGTCAACATTCAGTCTAGCTATGCTGCTTCGACGCTAGCTCGACTCTGACTGGACGTTGGCATTGACGCTGGCTCGGTGCTGGCGAGATGCTGGCTTGACGCTGGCTGTGCGCAGGCATTGTGGACAACGACGCGGGAATGTGGCAGAATGCTGGCGCTTCTGTTTTGTGCGCCAGGCATTGCTAATGTGGCGCATGCCACTTGTCTACATTGCTGATGTGGCGCATGCCACTGGTCTACATTGTTGATGTGGCGCATGCCACTTATCTACATTGCTGATGTGGCGCTGCCACCTGTCTACATTGTGTTGCTGATGTGGTGCTACCACCTGTCTTCATTGATGATGTGGCGCATGCCACCTGTCTCTACATCTGACGTGGCATTGGCCACGCTGTTTACATGAGGACTGGTTGCGACAAGGAGGAAGATCGGGATCTGTGGATGATTGGGATCGGGTACTCACCTGAGGTTGACGTCGTTACAGTAATCTGCTGCTGTCTTCATGCTCTTCAAGAGACAAGAGTGCCACGTGGCACTTCTGGGTGATCAGGACTTATCATACTTGTTATCGTATACTGGTTGATGATGTGGAGGCAAGAGGAAGCCCGGAGAAGAAGTGGGGTTTGATTGTATTACTCTTGTGTGATCATTGTTTATCTCTTCCACCTTCTCCTCACCCTATTCCCCCTCCACTCTCTTCATCTAATGGTAACGAGATACTGTTTCAGATATCACTTCATGTTAACTGGAGACTTTGTGCAGATCTGAGACTACTTGTGCTTTGGCGTCTGATGAGTATCTGCCAGACTGGGTTCATTACAATTTGGTATCGGAGCATACTTCTTCATCGCAATCTGCTGTCAGGTGCTGACATGGCACCCAGGTAAGTGGGAGGTGTCGCACGTGTAGGACGAAACACGTTTAACGTGCGAGGTCGATACCGCAAGTCTAAACATGTAGTACGGCACGTGCGCGCAACCTCCCTTGAATATGATGACGTGGCTACACTGAAGACTTCGAGATGCCGGCAAGAGCTTCGTTGGCAACAGGCTGATGTGGTGCTGGTCCAGAGAGAAAGAAGTGTGAAATCGGGACCGCTGATGTGGCGCACTGCCTACGGCATGGCGTGGAATGCTGATGTGGCATTTTGGCAGGGCATGGTCTGACGTCGCACGTACCTGTGTTGTGATAGCCTGCTTATGAAGCGCTGACGTGTTGTAGACATGCATTGTTGACGTGGCATCCCCCCCTCGTAGACCTTTTAGGTCCTTGACGCCGACGTGGCAGACTCCATAGAGCTGCTGCGTTGGCATGCCAGGGGTGACACGTGGCATGCATAACACGCTGCTGTGGAATAACTGTTGAGTGTGCACTTGTGTGCTGGCAGACGGTACGGCTTCACGATTTGCTGTAGCCTTGTGACTGGTTGCATTGTTTCTGCAGATGGTACAGCCGTAGAGGAAGGAAGCTAACCATTGATTGTGTTGTTGTGTTGGCTGACCTACTCAATTGTTGGTTGTTCTGTGTTTGCTGTGCATACTCACAAGAGTGTTGTTGTCTTGATCACACTGGTCGTGGCTGCGGTACCTGTACACTTGTTGTAGGACGTCATCATACCTAGAACAGGCCGCAAAAAAGAAATTAATTGAGAATTTGTTTCTTCCTGTCTGCCGTGATTATTTCTTGCTGTAGGAATTGCGTGTGCCGTGGAATTTATTTTTGTCTTCTGTAATTATTTATTGTGCGGCGAATACACATTTCGAAAATGAGTTACCTTTGGAATTCCCTGCACCTCTCTGTCTTGACTCGATTTATTCCTTACTTCTTCTTCCCCGTCACCATGACCTTCTTCGCTGACGAGGAAGGTGGTGACCCGAAAACCCGTAGTCAAATTGAAACCAAATTTAAATGGCAAGAGATGTTGGGCCTTTTGCAGCAGTTGATGTCTGATCTACATTCTGCTGGTGCCATGCCGAGCAGCAAGTTCGCTGTCAGTTCGATCTGCGTGCAGCAGAAAACGAACTAAAGGAGGCAGAGACTTTTGTTCAGTTGTTGGAATCCTGCACCCATGTACAGAAGATCATTATTCAGAGCCGACAGGCTCTGGATAAAGTTGTACTTGGTCAACTGTGAGAAATAACCAAAGGGAACAAAAAGGAAGAAGCAAGAGAAACAAGGAAGGAAAAGAAAGAAGTTGAATTGTCCGAAGAAATCATGTTGGGAAACATCAGACAGTTGGAGGATGCATTGGCTGAAGAAAGGAAGATTGAGGAAAACAGGAGGATAAGAGTAGACA